ATATATACATATATAAAGACTGAACTTCAATCTATTCGACTGGATTTGTGGATTAATCTCCCCCTTCTTCCTCCCTTGTATAATAAAATCAGACTTTGAGTGCCCCTAATCCTTCTAAGGAGTGTGGAGATTACCAAGATCCTCTGAATATCTTACATTTCTCACAACAACTCAAGACATGGCTCAGTGTCACAAGGTCAGAGGTGTATGTTTAATGTGAGCTTGAACTATTAAAAAAAAAAAAAAAAACATTAAACTCACCCCAGATTTTACCACTTGGGGGCCCTATTTTCACGCCCAGCGCAAATCTGGTGCAAGGCACAGTTTTACCGTATGCATGTGATGAGTTTTCTTTCTTTTGGTATTTTCACCAAAATTTCTCAAAAGTTAGAATTGCGCGTAACCATTGTGTGCTGTTGTGTAATGGGATGTAACAGGTCGCGGCGATCCCTCAACTGAATTAAAATCAGAGCGGTAGGAGTGCACGCCATGCTTGACATTTCGGAAACAGAAACAGACTCGCAGGTAACCTGCATGCTCTCCTCTTGCAGATGATGTACAGTAGTCGGCCGTGCATGTGACATAGGCAAATGTAGATTGCATTGAACCCACGTGTGTGACACCCCCGCGCCCTCATTCCCACACATAGTTGTGCCGCGCGGTCAGTGGGGTGCTATTAAGATGATAATGATTGGAATTTGTTCAATGAAAATTTCCTACAATAATTCAGAGGGATTTTCCTCCGCTGGTGTTATATTTATGAATGAAATAAGATGACATCCACCACACATGTCCGCAGGGCGTCAAATCTGTCTGTCCAAAATTCAATCATTCATTCATTTTCCGAACCGCTTTATCCTCACAAGGGTCGCGGGGGGTGCTGGAGCCTATCCCAGCTGTCTTCTAGCAGGAGGCGGGGGACACCCTGAACTGGTTGCCAGCCAATCGTAGGGCACAGATAGACAAACAACCATTCCCGCTCACAATCACACCTACCGACAATTTTGAGTGTTCCATTAACCTGCCATGCACCCGGAGAAAACCCACGGAGGCAAGGGGAGAATGTGCAAACTCCACACAGAGAGGCAGGAGCCGGAATCGAACCCTGTACCTCTGTACTACGAGGCGGACGTGCTAACCAGTCCACGCCTATTTGGAATATATTGATGATTAATAAATAACATCACAATAGTTATTTTTTCATTTGCTCTTGTGTTTACTTTTTTGTCTTGTTTAGCTCATTGTTTTTGTGTTGGTTTCATTTGCTGCTGTGCTTTGTTGTTTTTTGTTGTGTTTTGCACTTCAGGGCCACTGCATGAAGCTACAAAGCCCATTGCAAATCCAGTTGTAATCGTTGCTGCATCCAGGCTTCACTGGCCGCCGAGGAAAAAATGAGTTGTTATTATTGTGAAGAGACATGCACACTAACAATGCAGCTGTAGGATCTCTCAGAAGTGACTAAAATAAACCTATGGTGTCAGGTAATGTATACCTATCTACCCACAAAAGGTGACTAATCACAACATATGCTGTAAATTCTTTTCGACGCAGCAGTGAGTAAGAATGGAACTCAAATGTATGTTTCAAAAGGCAGAGCTGTACCAGAGAAAGATATGCTATCTTGAGCTGTTGATGGCAAATAGCAACTGCCATCCAGACGGTTTCCACTCACTAAATTAGTCACTTATATTGGCACAGCATTCAAAACACTGATTAATTGTGAAAGTTTGAGTGCTGTAGTAACACTTTCATGCAACAATAATGATAACCTGTAACCTGATAACTTTCTAAGCTGTCCACTGTAGTGACCGCTGTCCCTGAAAGGGTTCATTAAAAATCCAGCCAAAAATGACATTGTTTGGACAAAAATATTGAGACACATCTTTTAACCAAGCAGTCATCCATCAAGGGGTGGGAATAAAAGCCTTCAGTTTAACCTTAATCTTATTTTCATTTTTTTATCTTACCGAAACATTTCTTTGGACAATTTTATGCTGCCAACTTTGTTTTTCAGCCTGACTGTGCTGCTCTCTGGTACACAAAGCTTAAGCTCTGTAAGTGCAGAAGCACTTAAGATCCTTGACCTCAACCCCATCAAAATCTTTTCGGATAAACTACAACAGAGATTGTGAGATTGAGATAAATCAAATGACTATATATTAAGTACAGTGCAGTGTCAAATATGCCCAATGTACAGTACATTTATTAGCACTGTACTACTGGCATTATGGGTGAAATGATACCTGCAATTCCTCCATTCGGCTACCTTCCTTTTCTCATGCACTTATCGGATCGAGGACAACAAATCATATTGCAAATGTAATGAGTGAATTGCAACCCTAAGGGCAGTGCCATTAAAACGAGGGAATACTGAGTTTTTTTCTTCAGCAATTCCCAGGCTGGCCATTCCGTGAGGCAACTGCCAATTGCGGAACTCACAGCGCCAGCACAAACGAGTGCCGATTTTCTCCAGTCCATTATGTCAAATTGACAGTATCGACTGATGGAATTGATTCTGACTTGATTCAAAGAGCTTCAAATTCAATCTGATGGCTGTTTGAAGGTTGGTTAATGGATTCTTGAAAGGAAGTCTTCTTGAAAGCCCTGACCTCCTTTGTCAACCCTCTTTAACGCTCTTAGGAACATATGGAGCTTTGCTTTCGGAACCTTTAACACGCAGACGGCACACCTCAGAGCACCCGACCCTGCTTAAGTGATTTACTTTGTGGGGCTTAACACTCTGGCTTCTGTAATTACAGTAAATTGAAACAGACCTGCGGATGCGCTTGGAGGCCTGCGAGTGATCGGGGCAACAATTTAAAATGTGGCAAGTGTGTCGGCAGTGCATCTTAAACTGCTTGGTATCGTGCTTGCTGTGCCAGTATAGAGCATTTGCAAGTAATGATCACTATGCATATGCTGCATCAGTATTTGTTTATAAACTGCTTGTTAACGGTGAGCATAAGCAGGATTGTTTTGATTTTACCTATTCTGTTGTCACCCAGTTCTTTTGAGAATTGATTATCATCAAATTTTTGATCATGTTTGCATGGATTATCTGCGACAAAAATTCCCCCTCCACATTAGGATCACACAAATAGTGGCCTTATTGTAAAAAAAATACATCTCTTATCATTCACTTAGTTACTACAATTCAAAGTGGTGGTACCTGAAATTTGTCTTTGACTCTGGCAAAGATGTTATGTTTTTTACTCGAGAATAAAAAATGGTTCATCTGCACAAGCAACGAGGGCTGTTTTAATCGAGAATCTATGTCCAGGTGTTAATGAATATCTGGGGACATGGGTCTTAGTGACCGGATTCAAGTACTGTATAAACACAAAACTATCCCTCGATTTCAGTGCTGATCGATACGGTCGCGTCTGTGGCGAATGCCAGTTGAAATGAAGTAAATATTTACAGCCTTGTTGCACGCCTCACCTTTTTCTCTTTCGGGAACTCTTTTTGTCGCGCTTGTTCATCACCACGGGAACGCAACTCGTGAGCTCGGTCCAGTCGGCGTGTAAGCCGCAACTCCAGCCGGTTGAGAAGCGTGAAAAGAGCCACGACTCGCTTTTGCCGGGCCGGTGGCACGTGCATTTTCTCTGGCCGGGTGTACATTCGCAGGGCTGCTCCAGCTGGATGTTCTTAACCAGGTGGCGCCCGAACGTGGTTCCTCCGGTCTTTTGGATGTGCAGGAACACCATCACGTCATCTCCTCGGATGTCAAAGTCCACGTGTCTGTCCAGGTCACGCTCCGTGAAGTTAAGTGTGAACGCGGTCTTATCGGGGAGGTCCTCGTCCAGCTGCTGCTCTGGGCTGAGGGATGAATATTGCTCGAAAAGGACGCTCTCTTCACGTCGGAAGTAGCAAGTTTTGCTCTCCGCTGGGCATACGTACTGGTAGCCTATCATGAAGCAGAGCACGGCCGCAATAGGGATGAAGATGAGTCTATTAAACTTGTCCTCCATGGTAGAAGGCTCAGTCCGCGGACACAAGCGAGACGCAATCCTCCTCCCGCGCTCCTTGCATGGTGTGGCTCCACTCCGGCTTGGGCAGGGCGGTCCCGTTAGCTCAAGTCCGAACGGCAGGTGGGCAATGCCGCCACTCGGGCGTCCGGAATCGTGACAGCTGCGCGCGCCAAAGTTGACGCCGTTACGTTGTGAACAAAACGCACGCAACTCAAGCGCGTCGCGCTCTCTGGCGAACAGAACGCTCGTGCTCACCTGCATTGGGGGCGTTCCTGCGAGTGAGCTCGCCACCCCCTGTACAAGTGTTCATGCTTTGTAAAGCAGCTGACAGAAACTCCCCGATCCAGGAAAGCGGAAGTGGATCAGCACAAGCTTCCGCTTTATCGATCTTTGCAAAATAAAATTTGCGCTGATGACCATCGAGAGAACCTACAGTATTTCACAAGGGGTTTTCATACTAGTCATTCCAGCACTCCCCGCGGCCCTTGTGAGGATAACGCGGTTCGGAAAATGGGTGGATGGATGGATGGATGGATGCGTGCGTGCGTGCGTGCGTGCGTGCGTGGTAAGATTTAATGTAGGCTGCGGTGCGCCACTTGGCCGAGAGAGCATTCTTTTCCCCTTTCAGTCAGCAAACCAGGGAGGAATTAAACTCCATCGTCATACATTGTTCCCCTCATTTGCATAAAGCTGCAGTATGACCAAGTCAAATAATTACACAATCGGAGCTGAGCCTCGGTCCTGTGCGCCTTCCTCTCAATGGGCCCGTGTGTGCGTCTGTGTGTGCGGGCGTGTTTGTGTGTGTGTGCGTACGTGCGTGCGTGTGTGACTGTGTGTGTGTGTAGATTTGGTGAAGATTTTTCAGAAACTGAAGATTACACGGAATTATACTACTGTATAATCCAAACCAAGATATAATTGATGCAGAGGAATCCAATGATGAAAAGGACAATGTGCAGAGGTTGCTGTCACATTCAAATCAAAGAATCCCAACCAGTCTTGAGCTTCATCCCCATCCCGATCCTAGTGGTTTATGAATGTATGCGTGAATGGGTGAATCTAAGGCTTTGTAAACCACTTTGGGCACCATGTGGTCTAGATAAAGCGCTACTTAAGTGTGCTTCATTTACTATTTATCTGAGAATCAAGGTATGCTGTCAAATGTCACCAGGATGACCCCAGAACCCCCTGATAGGACTGATGACAGCAAATCTCTGCTTTAGGCTGCTCTTGACTGGATCCATTCTAACCACTGTTGTAAATTTGGAAGTTGCTAACCCAGAAATATATCAGCACATGCAGTGGTCGTTTGATGTCCTGCTAGTGTATACAAATGCAGAAAAAAAATCTACAAACAGTTCATGGGATGTCGAGTCTGGTCGGACGGTTTTTCTATTCACCATGTCACTTCAAAAATTCCACCTGTCAAGGGTGACGGACTTTGACAAATGGGATACAAGACCAGGCTGCTGTCAAAAAAAAACACTGACAGAGACAACAGACGTTTGGGACAACCGCCACTCATTTATAAGACAAGTACAAACTTGGGGTACACTGCCCACTCAAGCGGTACATGGCAAGCAAGCCATACAAATATGACAAGTTGTAGCTGGGGAAAAAAAAGTGCAGATGGCAGGTCTCATCATGGCAGGTTTTAAAAAGGTATGACTGGGACTGGGTCAATTGGTGTCAATTCAGAATTACATTTTGCTGAAAACTGTACGAGCCTGAGTTATGATACACTGCAAATCTACTGACTTTAATTTAACACTTAGAGTGTTGAATCTAACCCCGGCGAAGTGTTTATATGCATCCACACTACCCTGTGTTATAGTGACATTTACTGACTGACTGAACAGAGTTAAATGTTCAACACCGAATAGTCTGTTACAACAAAATGCAGTATTTACTGAGGTAATAATGACACTTCTGAGTGTTTAGATTAACACTAATGAGTGTTTATGTCAACACTAAACAGTGTGGGGAATAATATCCTGTGCCTTACTACCTTAAATAAAACATCACATTTCAAAACACTTTTCTTTTATTAAATCAATATCAGACAGCTCATACAAAACAGCAGTATGTCATAATACACGTTCTTTCGTCATTTACATGTGAAAACTCCCCATCATGAGGCCAAGAATAAAATCAGGTCAGATACACTAATATCAGTGAACATATATTCCTCAATTCTAAATCCATTCAGGTCATCATCAAAACCCATGGTAATAACATTGGGTGTGAAAAGTAATGCTTTATCCTCGTTAAGATGTTAGCAATTTTCCTGAAAGTAGGGAAATCATTTTCAGTACCACCACATACAATAATAACTCAATTGTGGCATTAAGTTTCATAGGTTTTACACCCAGGATGTCATAGCAACCCAACAGATTACAATTTTGACAAGACCCCAACACCTGGTCTGGATAGTGTTGCATCGCCCAGTGCATGAATATGGTCTTCATTTTGACAACTGGCTGGTTTGCGTTTCATCATGGACAAGCTTTAATCATCTGATGGCTGTTCAGATGTTGAGTGGTCTTGCAGAGTCTTTGGGTCACCATCAAAATCGTATGGCTGCAAAAGACAGAGAAGAATATGGACACAAAACAATTAATATTACATACTCAAAACCATTTCCTCTAAGCCTGTATGGCCAAATGAGAAAAAACCTTGAGGTTCATGCAACTCAATACTCACATTATTAGTTGTTGAGGCCTTGCCTTCCAGATTGGAGGAAGGACACTTGGCAAGGAGCTGACAAGTGACACTCATTCGACTGATTCAAGTTAGCTGGGAGACTCACCAGAACTCACTTTACTCGTTGGCTCCTACAAATGGACATGCTATTTCTGATGGACTTGACAACGGGGCTGTTTCACATTAAGTCATTTCAGATCTTTAGATCGAGCAAGAAGTAACATTGAATGACATCAGGTGCACAAGGAAATATGTTATTATTTAAATAATGTTTTCCTTTTTTTATTTTGTTTTGTAATAATGGAGTATTTGCTTTTACTTTGAAGCTCAGCGACATTTACGTTTCCCTTTACTGAAGCTGACTTGACTCTACATCTGTCCTGTCATCTGTCCTGGCTGCCAAGCCTGTGATGCAACCCCATCTCTAATCACAAGCACGTGCATTTTGTCTCACACACACACACACACACACACACACACACACACACACACACACACACACACGCACGCGCACACACACACGCGCGCGCACACACACACACACGCACACGCACACGCACGCACACGCACACACAATTTGATTGGCCTGGAATGACTCCAGCCACATCAGGGGTGCCCATTACGTCGATCGCCATCAACCAGTACATCAAGGACTGGTCCCAAGTCGATCCGAGGGGTGTAGAGGGAAAAAAAAAACATTTGTGTCTCTGTGCATGTTAGTAATATATTTTTGTGGGAATGCACACTGCACCCTAATCATTCTATCAGTTTCACTTTCACAAAAAGTATTTAAAAAAGAAATTAAAATAAAGCAGGAAATCTTTAACCTACGGTGACGTGTGACTGCATCACCGGAAGTTGTTAGCGCTCAGCAGTCTGCAGTTGCAGCTTGTGATCAGAGTTGTTGCGCTATATCTTTTACCGTTATCATTATTCTCATTCAGAGTTTGTTTTGTATAATTCACCGAGGGGACGGGCAAAGAATAGGAATCTAGAGGGCCAAGAGAAGCATTTTAAAACGGTACGCGTGAGATACGATCGTTAACAGGCTGCATACGTGCGTCGCATGCCTCAGCGTCAGGCCATTGCTCATCATGGCATGCGTGTGTACGTGCGTGCGTATGCGTGGTAACGGGTCGATCGCGGAGGTTGGTTGATCGAAAAGTAGATCTTCGGTCAAAAAAGTTTGGGCACCCCTGAGCCACATGATATTTTGTATTTCACTAATTTGCAAATAGAGCCTTAAACAAACATTCATAATGGCTTCACTTTCAAACTACAATACGTTATTGTTTTGTCTTGGGCATGCGTGAGAATCAGGGTGTTGCATTGCGCTGGCATCAGGTCGAAACCTCCAATGTCAAAATTTGGTAAATTTTTTCACAAACCTATGCTGCTAGTCCAGCCACATATTTGTGCTATTTTCCCAAATTATTGATCAATATAAAGTGTTGAAAATGGCTTGCTCTCTTTGACGACGCAATGTTAATGAGTGAACAAACACATTTTTTGGTTCCCTGTAGAGCACAGGTGTCAAAGTCAAGGCCCGGGGGCCAGATCCGACCCGCCACATCATTTTATGTGGCCCACAAAAGCAAATCAAATGTGTCAACTTCCATGACCCTTGCTTAAATCTGTACCGAAATCTCAAATTGTCATATGTAATAAATAACGGTGACATTTTGCAATAACTTTGTGACCCGGTTTTCCCTCACTTGAACAATAATTGAACAAATACTTGACTGATTTCAAAACTAGTGAGCCATCGTTTTTTTTTTTTTTTTTTTTGTGTACAAGTAATAATACAATGTGATGATTTAAAAATGTATTTCGTTTCACTATTGTAACGGCCCTCCGAGGGAAGGCGTGATTCCAAAGTAGCCCACCACAAAAATGAGTTTGACACCCCTACTGTAGAAGAATAATTTTGGAGGGATAAGAATTGCGGGAGACATCAGTGATATACTATTATTACTTTTTTCCTCTACATTTCCACTTTCAACTTCATGCATCATTCAGACATTCTACAGAAAGCACATTTTTGGATAGTAGGCTCAGCTAATCAGTGTCATGGACAGTTTCAATCGAACTGAGTCAATAATTAGAGCATGAAGGGTGTCGACAACAGTGGATCACAAACATGTGACTAATATGCACTTATCTATTGCCAAAGCACCAGTAATGGATCAACGTCAAGCTTTAACTGATCAAAAGCTTTTGCTTTTTGCCGGAGGTTCCCCCATCAAGTTTTCTGTTACGCATTTTCTGAGTACCGAAAAGTGCACAATAATACACAGGTTCAATGTATTACCAGGGGATTTAACCATGGTGCACTTTGTATTCGTTTACATCCGCTTTCAGCGCTCATTCCCCCTGACATTGACTTAATCTGGATTTTGAGGTCCACCTCTTTTTGAGTCTGAGTCGAGCCCAAAATCTCATATATGAGCAACAAACATGGTAAGGGACATGAAAAGAATGTGTTATGGAATGAAGAAACATTTCCAGAAGGTCGTACCCAAATGACCTGTTTGACCTCAATTTATTTTGCTCTTAAAATGCTGAGTCTACATGTAAGTACAAGCATCTTCCATTCCATTTTGCAGAAGAATAATTTTCCATAAATAGCACGTTCTCCAAAGGGAAACAATCTGCATTGTTTTGGGCTGCAAAATAGAAGTGCTAATGAGCTGGCTTTGAGGTTTGGATACTTATTTGGATAGCTCTCTCAGAAGGAATCCAATGAGGTACTAGGTGTTGTCTGGTACAATATACAGATATTCAAGTTTGCACTGATTGGGGAGGTGGAAAGAATAAGAGTAAAGTGACTGACATTCAAAGAGTATCCCCCCAACATGTCCCAAATGTGTCGTTATTGAGTTTCGGTGACATGCCAGCTGTTGAGTCGGGAGTTGACTGCCGGTACAGATAACGTTCTACACATCTTGGTTAGCATTAAAAGAAATCAAACACATGAGGAAACATATATCGCAATTTTCTTTTTCATAATTACCGTATTTTCCGCACTATAAGGTGCTTCGGATTATAAGGCGCACCTTGAATGAATGGCCTATTTTAAAACTGTTTTCATATATAGGGCGCACCACATTATAATGCGCATAGAATAGAAGCTACAATAGTGGCTGAGGTTGTGTTATGCATCCACTCAATAGAGCTACGCTAAAGGGACTACAATACAATAAAGCTTTTTTTATATCGCGCTTTCACAACCACAGCAGCTGTAACAAAGCACATCACAGAACATTTAAAATGCTACGTACAAGAAATCAGAATATCGATCCATATGTAAGACACATCAGATTATAAGTCATACTTTTGAGAAAATTGAATGCTTTTAGGTTCGCATTATAGTACGGAAAATACAGTAATCATAATTGATGTTTCGCTAGTTTATGAACAGTAATTTATTTCTATTATTTGTATTAACATACAGTCAATGAAAGCTTCATGAACAAATTATTTCAGTTTCCATTATTTCCCAAGGGAAATGTTCTTCTTTAAATCTGAACAAATTGGATGCCCACCAGCCTCCTGGAATAGAATGCATTTAAACTTGACACTGTAGATGTGGCAGTGTAAGCTACAACTAATTTTCTTTTTATTTTCCGATTTCCATGTAATTTCCAGATTGGCAAATGTTCTCCGTGTGCATACAACAACAAAAAAAAAAAGAAAAAAGCCACAAATAGAATCTTGATTGGTAATCTGTCACCTTGTAAAACATGTCCATGTCGAGGTTGTTATGGTAATGACTGTTCCTTGTTATTCATCCTCCAGCACCTGTGAAGCAATTTCTATTTCAACCGTTGCTGTTGCAGATGTCGCGCCCTGTGAGGTGATGATCCTGCTTCTCCCTCCATCCATTTTCTATACCTCTTGTCCTCATTTGGGGCTCATGTTAGCTTGAGCCTATCCTAATGGCCTTGGGTGCGAAGCAGGGTAAACCTTGGACTGGTAATCAGCAAAACAACCATTCACATTCACTGACTCTTGTTCTGTGGACAATTCAATCTTCAGTTGGATGGATGGATGGATGAATGGATGGGTGGATGGTCATGAACTAATTAAATGTTTGTTTTTGAAATATAGGAGGAGGCTGAAGAAAACCCAGTACACATGGACCACGACCTACCAACTCCGCACAGCGGGGGGACTGAGCCGAGATTTGAACCCTGGTCCTTTCGAGTGAGATGTGGAGGTGCAAACCAGGGGTTTCCACATGTCATTAAAAAGCATGAAAAGTCATTAAATGGATTTTGTAAAAATGAAGGCCGGAAATTGCATTAAAAATCATACAAATATTATAAAATGCTTACAAGCATGCTTGCATGTGAAGCATTAACTCTCTTCTACATTTGTCATGTAATAACAGAGCTCATTTGAATGCAAACGATGGTCATTTCAGGTATTTACTTGAATGTGAGGATTTGGCTACGTCATTCTGCATGTGAAAATTTTTAACACATTTTTTCTCACTCTGATGTCCAACAAAATACACACACACACACACACACACACACGCACACACACACACACACACACACACACACACACACACACATACACGCACCAGCTGCCCAATGACGTTTTGCATTTACATGAAAAAAGATGCATGATAAAACAGGATTGTCAAAAAGTCCTAAAACACAGTTTGCGAATGGATGAATGGTCCAGACACATTGTAAAGATGTCTGTGTTTATGTGAGCATGTTAAATTTGTTCTGTAATAAGGACTGTGTGTAAGAGGCTCGCGCAGATTACATACATTTACACGTCATTTTTCTTTTTCCTTGAATGCTAACTAAGCAATATTGACTGTGCTTTCTTGATGTACAGTATTCGTTTTGTCACTTGCGGGCTGTTGATGCTAAACCCACAAAGATATTTAGGGTTGTATCTGATTGTTGTTTTCAATAACTGTGAATGCCGATTGAGATGTGCATTACAACCATCTGGTTAAGAATCTGAAACTTTGTGGCACTCATCCAGAGTGTGATGTGTTCCATCTTGTGACTATTCAAAATCACCAAAATCGTCCATGTGCTTTTTTTCCCCCTGCAAGGATAAGTGAAGCCCTAATGTACAATCTAAGAAGATTGTTCCTCTAAGCCTTCAAAGATCATATCTGATAGAAAAGAGATGAATCCATTTCAGACAGAGATTTAGCTTGAGCTCCAGTACCAGGGCGAGAGGTATGGGATCAGAGGCCAGGTTATTCTCTTTTCTTGTGGTTAAAGCACTCGGAATAACAGCCACCCTCCTGGCATTTAAAACGTATGTCTGCAGCAACACCCTTGGTTCTGTCATTGCTCACCTCCTTCCCTCCCCTCCTTCTTTGGCCTCCAGAGAGAACATCTTAGTGTCGCTAAATGTCACGTTAAGTGTTTCTCTTATCCCCACTTGTTCCAATGAGATGCTTGGTGAATATAAAAAAGGCCTACTCTGGATGGCTGCCATAGCTCAGAGAGAGTGACGCTTCTCTTTGAGCTCTTCTTTTCCTTCTACCCTCCTACATGTCTGCAATGAGGATGCACAGAGGATGGCACACTCTTCATATATTGCAAGGTGGGAGAGACTCACGTTAGAGACTCACACATTACAAAACAGTCTTCTGCCAAGAATCAAGACGTGGATCAGCACCAACGTGTTGTGGCGACTTTTGACTTGACCTATCAAGGGTTGCCATACCAATGTATTCATGTCCGCTTCCTGCGTATAGATCCAGGATATTCATTCATCACCCATCATGTCTGCTCTTTGAACACTCTGTAGAACAGACCGAGGCACAGTCTCTGGCAGGCCCCATGGCTTGTATTTTATGTGCACTTGTGGATGCTAGTAAAAACAAGGTAGCAAGCCACAGCCGGGGCTTATATGCAGTGTTTCGCTATATTTAGATTTTTACGACTCCTCCTGCAACTATTATTTAAAAAAAAAAAAAAAAAAAAAAAAACGGGAAAATTTTATATTTTTTCGCCCCCCCCTCGAAATTTTTTTTTAAAAAAAAAAAAAAAAAAAAAAACAAGTGAGATAAAAAACAATAGCGATCCTAATTTTTGCAGCATTATTATTTATTATATGATGGAGGATAGAGCACCAAGATTTTTGGCTTGATAATACTGTACTCAAATCTAGTGTCTTATATACTTTACATATTGGGTGTACAAGTCATCATTGTATGTATCACTGTCAATATTTTATTGCCCACTTATCTATATATGTCCCGAACAGGAACAGCTAATATGAGTTAGTGGTGGTGTACAAAATGATTATTCTTTTTCAGGTGTAAAGATGTCATTTTTAATGACCGTCGATAATTTTGTTTATTTTCTTGATTTCCTCACGACAACAATGCATCCCATATCTACGTATGTAGCAATTCAGTGAAACGACAATATACTAGAAAGTTGGGGTAAGCATGTTGGCTTGGCCCTCGGCAAGCATTACAGTCTCTCCCGTGGCCTCTTTGCAAAATTAATTAGCCAGCCCAGCTCTAGACCAAGGTGCCATTGACCAAGACATTTAAGACATCTATTTGGCCTTATAGAATCTTGGTTATGTCACAAAGTGGGAGGATGCGTGAAAAACATCTATCTTTTCCTTGACACATTTAATTTCTTAGGCATTATTCATAGCAGACAGTGAAAGGTAACTGTGGGATGGCACTTTCTTCCTCCCCTTCCTGCCGCCATTCTTTTCCATCGTTGCTTCCCACAAAGCTGAATCACCACTTGTGACCTCCACAACTGCCTTGTTGAAAATAGACAACAAAGAGACACAGATGAAACCCAGCACCCAGAAAAGGATTGTGGTGTGGTGGTGGTGATGGACGAGCTGATACACACACAGCTTGTCTGGCATTAACAAAATGGCAACCCGTCTGACCATTAGTGATTGTGATTCCAGTCATTTGCCTTAGACAGAGTTAGTCAGAATCTTCTATGTCAGGTGTCATTAACAGTCTACCTATGGTACTGTTGTGGCTGCTAATTGAATGTGTTTCTGTGTCTCTATGGATATGTGTACTTAGAAACCAGCAGCCATGACCACAAAGCCCTTCTTTTCCTATGTGACTTATTCAAGAGTAAACATCAGCATTGGGCCTGGAGTCTTAACAACCTCTCACATACAGGTGACTTCTCGACCTGTGCATCAACATCTTGTTCGACAACTGAACTTCTCTGCCTAATTATGATACCTCACTTAATTTGAACATTGGCTTATTTTAGTGGCACAGCCTTTAAAGAGTCTTTCCCCATTTGCCTCAGGGAACCATGTTCTTCACTGGGCTTGTCGGCAGGAATTAATATCCCTCCCAATCAGTTCTCAGATGAACCTGTCTGAGTCTGGGCATATGACACTTCCAGCAGTGGGACTCGGATGAAGGGTTCAGCACAGTAATGTGCATAATGAATGCTGTCTCGACGTCATATGATTTTCTAAATAACCTCCTCTGCTTCATGCAATATGTTGTGTGCGTGACGAGCTTTTTCCTGTAGGTAATGAAAAGGAAATGGGACAATCTTATGTGTTACGAGTAAAAATGGTCTCCACTACTGCAGCATTTTGAACAGAAAACAAGCCTTGATGAGTACTGACCTCTGCTGGTCATATTTGATTTGACATTAGACTCAAACCGACGATAATGGTTGGAGCCCTCCGGCGTAAGTGTAACATCATGTTCAAATAATTTGTTTTTCAAAAAGTATAATTCATTGGCAAGTTAAATATGTTTTTTTTATATGTTAAAGTGCAGTTTACAGATATTGGTGCCCCATTACAATGGGAGCGAGAATTATCACTAACTGCCGAATTCCACAGAAAAGACAGCATAGAGACCGAATAGACATTCGCGTAATAGAAACGTCTTAGAAACAAACATTTCCACTTATTCATACTTATGGACATTTTAGAGTCGTTAATGAACGTGCATGTTTTGGTATGTGTGAAGAGATGTCGCCGTGGAAAAACAATGCGAGCAGGAAAAAGAAGTTAAATCAAATGCCTCGAATTTCGTTCAGCTCGGAGACGTGTTGCAACGTAAAAAGAGAAAGTTGACGATAAGAAAATGAAAGTCATACAAAGAGCAAGACGAGTCGTATCAAAGGGTTAAAAAAACGACAGAACTTGTCATTACATGTGTATAGTTTTACTTTGAAGGTACTGGGAAAAATTGGGACTTTTTCAAAGTTATCCCCGTAATTATCCGTGGACAAATTGATGCAAAACACGCATTTTTATGTGCATCAATCGCAAATATTAGCAGAAGCAATGAAAAAGAAAAATCACACGAATTGTATCCGAGATTGAAAAAAATAAAAAATAAAACATCATAAAATTTTACTTTGACGGGACCGGAAGTGTCATGAATAATTCCACGTTATCCTAAGGGGGGAATGTTGCAAAAGACGGCGATTGTAATTTGTGTCCCCATCCCAAGTGCGGATATTTTGGGGAAATATTCACGCTTTTAACCAGCTAAATTATTTTAAAGCCAAAACAGCATGTACTCCACCTACCCAACTCCTGCACCTCTGTTCATGTCCCATCAACACGCACGCACACACCCAAACGAAGCAGGTTGGAAGAAAATGAGAATATAACAGTAACTGTGAAAGTCTTTGTTAATATAAACGAGTAACCACGCGAAGATTTACGACACAGAATTCAATGAATGACTCTTAGACGATGAACTTTCTCCACTCATACTTCTTACAACAATAATGATAAAAATGCTATTTTACTATAAAACTCTAAACATGTTCAACTTTAATTATTAATTCCATACTCAATTAATCTGATTTACTTTGAAGATACCGGATGTTAATCCGTGAGTCACCCCGAAATTCTTTGGGTCATTGCAGGCAGAAAACTTTCCCAAAGTCCTTCACATATTCATTAACGTCGATTATCACGACAGTAAGTTTGTTTTCCTTTTACGAATAGCTCAGCGGTAAATCTTTAAATAAACCTCTCCACGGTCGCCGCGGCAAAAATCATTTTTTATGGTCTTTTTTTTCGTGCAAACAAACAAAGCAGATCTCCGTTAGAAAAAAAAATCCCGTCGGAATTTTATGTGCGCGGGGGACGAAACAACACCCTATGCGCTTCGTGGTACCTACAACATGACTGGCGCTCCTCAGACAAGTTTAAACAAGCACGCTTTTGTTCATCCTGAAGTCAAACGAGCGCCAAATCCATCGTAGAATGTATTGTTCGTGGAATTAGCGGTCCTAGCTGAACAAATCCGACGACCATTTTTGATAACTGTCCTCGCGCTTTGCAGGTAAGCTAGCTGTTGCTGACGTAAATGGTGGAATTTCACATCTTTGCGAAGCATTAATTCTCTCCCATAGGACGCAGTTCAACCGCTGCTGGTGCTGGGGAAACATTGAGCTGATTGCCTGCAGTGTTTTGATAACATTTCTCTCTCAAGGGAAGCTCGTTTCTGTTTCCACGGCAACGCGGCTTCGGCGTTTGTCCTCGTGTCTACGGGAAGGCGGAACCACAGAGAAACCACGGCTCCTCGATTCGCGATCCCCCCGTGGGAGTCCTTGATGATTCGGAGATGGTAAGGAGAGCTCGCCTGGAGCAAGCAGGTAGATTAGAATTTCCTTGAAAATGTTACCGTCGAAATTCTGGGTTACCTCATATCGTGTGAAGGGAATTGTTTGCATGTCTAGCCAGTTGTAAACGGCGTGGTTCATTGTCTGTTTCAGCCATTTCAGGACGGAGTCTACTACCCCTACGGCAGTGACACCCAGGGGAATCATTCATCAGCAGGGATCCCATCCCTGTTGAACTCTCCACTCAGCCAGCACTCTGTTAAGATCCACTCTGCACCAGGCATGGCTCCATCCGGTGCGCCACCCACCATTCTGCCTTTCAGGTTCCGCCAGCGTAGGGAGAGCGTAGACTGGCGGCGAATTCACGCTGTAGATATTGATCTGGTGATTAGCCAGCTAGATGTGGATGTCCTCCAGGAGCACATAAGCACCGTCACCTTCTGCAGCTTGGATGGGGAGCAGTGTCAACGCTGTCAGAGCCCTGTGGACCGAGCGCTCATCAAGATCCTCCAGTTGGCCCAGCTCACAGTCGAATGGCTCCTCCACTGTCAGGAATGTCTCACGCTCAATCTGCAAGCAGCGGAGGAGAGGCTGGCGAGCACCAACATGCAGCAGGAGCAGCTACTGGCTCAGTTGAAGAAGCAGGAGGAGAGCATGACGGCGATGACGGCCGAGCTCAAGAACAGGAGGAAGATCATACGCAAACAGCAAACCCTATTTGCCCCACAAATCACCAACAGTCAAAAGGTACTGCTGACATACTAAATTTGAATTATCTGTTAAGCCTCATTTTAAGAGCGTTCGGCTTATTTGAAGCAACAACTACCTTTGTCATTCCCTCCCTAACATAATTCACCAAAAATGAGAGCCTAGTTTCTACCATCTTTGTGATTGTATTTGAATTCGAGAATATCCATCGACTATGTTGTTTGGGAATGGTTAACGTAAGCTTTGTTTTTGGACAGAAAGTGGGATCTTTTCAGTTGGCCAGCAGATGGTGGGTTCAGTTGAGTGTTTAATCCACTTACAAAGGGGTGCCGAGTGGTATTGAACCTCACAAACAATTACTGTAGTTTCTTTCCCCTGACCATTCTATGTATTTGTTATTGAAACAAACACCAAATACACACTTTAGTACATAATATATAGCAGAGTGCATTCATTTTCCAACAGGATATTTATACCACAATTTAAAAATGTTCCCATTTCTTAAGTACTTTGGCTGCCTCTGACCTGGCCAAGCAGTTGCCCAGGTGACAGACAGTGTGTGTCAAGACAATCTGTGGTTGCTAGGTGTGCACAAGCAGCTCACCCACAGTTGCTGCTGAATAATTAATAGAGTCATGATTCCCAAGCTTTATTGAGACAAGTCACCCGTTTTCTATTAAGAAAGAATCTCACTCATTGCCCATCACCAAACAAAACTGTCACAAAATACGAACACTGAAAAAATGATCTTGTCTCAAATTACTTACCATTTGACGTACCTATCTGTACTAGTTTAATTGAATGCAAAGCTGATTCTAACAGGAAGCCATCGCTTATTCTGTTGTATGAATGGCAACAGATGGATACAAAGGTTAAATGCCTCTTCTGCCATGTAATGTAAGATAACTCAATCAATGTACCTGTCACTGTATCACTAGTATACATTGATGAGCAAAGATAAATTGGTCATATGAAATAATTTGCAGAGAAATTAAGCGAAATTGGGTAATAGTGATGCAGCAGACTTCAATATATTGAAGTTCTATTTTTCTTTATTCACACACCTGCATTTATTGTGTTTTAGTGCACATTTTGTAAAAAGAAGTTCCTCACCACTTCATTTCTTCAGAGTCACATGCAGCGACGCCACCCTGATGAGAATGATATACGTAAGTCACATCTAAATCCTATGAATACCTTGGTGCATGTGAAGACTTATGCGTGCTGTCATTACCGTTTTTGCCAGAGTTACAATCAAACAGTGAGGAGAAATCTCAGATCAAAACCCTGAAATTGGAGATGAGTAGTCTGAAGGAGCAGATTGTTCAACAGCAACAAAAATTGGAATCCAAAACAGCTGAGGTAAGAGGGCATAAAATATTGCAGTGTGTAATATCTAAAAGAAATCCTTTCAGGACTGCGTGACAAACTTCCCACAATTGTTCTTCTCCACAGAATCAAAAGCTGCAGCGACACATAGAAGAGGGCGAGCTACGTGAGTCACCGAGCAATATGGCAATTTGGGATGGTGACAATTGTATTTTGTGAGAATTGTATACTATATGTATATTGAATTTTGTGTGTGTGTGTGTGTGTGTGTGTGTGTGTGTGTGTGTGTGTGTGTATATGTATGACATTTTTTTCAGAGATGCGAGAGAGTGAGAAGAAATCTCAGATTGAAAGCCTCAAATTGGAGATAAAAAATTTGAAGGATCTTATTCAACACCAACACATTATACAAGCAAGATCAGCAGAGGCAAGAAGAAACATTTAATGGATTTTCTTCTCCCCATTCGGCAACTGTTTCATGTCAGTTTTTGCAATTCCAGGACGAAAAGCAGCAGTTCAAGGACAAAGACCTGCTAAAAGAACTTGATCATTTTAAAGCAGTGGAGATGGTGCAGATACAAGCCATTCAAAAGCTGGAGCATCAACAGAAGCAGCAGGTAAAAAAAATAAACATTTTATATCCAGCATGAGAATAATGTTGATTTTTACCGCAAACTAATATTTTAAAAAATTATTCTCTTTCAGGACAAAAAATGGGAGTCCAGGCTGGGGAAAATCAAAACTCTTCATGAGTCTGAAAAGAGCGATGTACAGTACATCTTTTTTGTTTTGTTTTTTTCCCCCCACAACATTTTAAACCAGTCCTGAGACAAGCATTCACCTTCCAGTTGCAGAAAGAATTGAGCAGATTGCAGTCGACCATGTTGGAGCACCAAGAGCACAGCAAGAGGCAGCTGCAGGAGATGCGAAGGAAGCTGCAAGAGAAGGAGCAAACCATCCAGGATCAGAGGGAACAGGTTAGTGCTGTTTCATATTAATCAATGTCCTCTGTGAGTGCTAAGGCGGAAGCTGAGTGGAAGCACAGAGCTTGTTCAGGATATCCTGTATTTGCTGCATGAGCTGAGTGATATGATGATGATACTGTACACTGCACAGGGAACTTAATCTAGGGGAAGCTGATACTTTTCCTGGAATAGTTCCATTCCAAAAAATATGCTTACACAACACAGCGACCACAACATTAGGCTCACAAAACTGATCTAATTCAAGTTCTGCTTTCACAGTTACTGTTTGGCAATGCTTAATTTTGGTCCACATTGTCAGAAAGGTGCTCATTTTGCAAGAGCCACATTTAATTATCCAAATGAGCTCAAAATGATTCATACCTAACCCTAGCCATCTTTAGATTTAAAATGCACTCTTATTTTGTCAATAAGTATGTTAGCCAGAAATAACACAATGCTGGCCTATCTTGTCAATTTTTAGTTGATTAAAACATTCAGAGCCGAATTCATTAAATGAATCCATGGCTTTTGCGTGACGCTGACCAGTGAAAATGGGGCAAACAAGATAGCATCTAATTCAAAAGCACACTCAGATGGTGAAATGAGTCACCAACTCTTAATACCAAACAGAAAGCCTCTCGGTACACCGGTGGTATTTGCGCGTATTTAAATGAGGTAAGTGGCGGAGAAATCGCCCACCTTTATCCAAATAAGCCTCATTAATAATGAACGTGTAATTCACTAACACCAGTGCTAACAGTCACACAAGGCCTACAGAAAGCTGATGTCAAATGGGCGCTACTCAGTGGAAGCCTCTCTTCGCGAGGGCACGCGTTGCGAGAGCAATGTGAAGGAACATTGATATACACAAGACATGTTGTCCGACCTGTCGATCAAATAAATGTCCTGTTCGCACCTCCTCAGTCAGGGCCCTAAGCTCGCATTCTTAGAATTTCATCTTTCTGTCATAATAATAAATGGTTGTTATAGTAATAACAATGATTATAAGAGCCTAATGCATTTTACTTGGCACTCAAGGACACCGCACAATGCTGCACTACATTTAATAAAAGAACAATACAAATCAGAATGAGAGAATTACATTAACATTTTTTAAAAATGAAACTGAAGGGGCATATCAAAATGACAGGTTGAGTAGGCAGTTTTAAACAGGTGCGTTTTGAGTTGTGATGTGAATTAAATGAAAGAGTTTTGTTCTGCCACTGTGTTCTTGGTCTAAGCCTACATTTATATTTTCCCCAGTGTGCAGTCAGGGAGTGTAAACAGGCGCAAACTGCACTCACCTGTCAAAGTTTGTGAGCGTGCTTGCGCTGGTATGTCATTCGCACAGTATCCATTGTGAATAGGATGTTGTGTGATGGAGTAAACTGCGGGGGCAAATGAGGAGGTGCCTTCAGAGTTCACAGGATTTTTTTAGAATCATACACAGTTTTTTTCCCCACAATTCTAATGTTCAAAATATGACTAAATGAGACTTTTGCAATTCATTTCCAGGCATAAAATACCCTGTCAACTCGTAAAAAAAAAAAAAAAAAAACACTTTATTCTCTTGTATTTTTGGATCTGCACGTGTACGTAATAATGTTGCTCGTGAGTGGTAGTAATAGATTTAACCAGATTGAAAATGACAAATAATGTGTTCATGCCGTATGTATCATAATGTTTTTATTCTGTTCATCATGCAGATACTGAATACATCTTCAAATCCACCCGCTAAAGTACTGAAAGTACCAGGTAAAGATACCTCTGTGGACTATTTCCTCATCAGGAAACCACCAGTGTGATCCTCATTGTCTGTTTTCCAGTGTTCGTAAATGCACCAGCTCCAGAGCCGAAACCAAAGAAAGTTGTACTTGGTGAGTCCTCAACTTGAACTGTGACGTAAACATGAACTCTCAGAGAGTCTGAGCATGGGCTATGTCGCATGCTGGATTATTGAGGAAATGCACCCATTTTGCACCTGTCCCTCTTCTCTTATCACCCCTATTTTATGTCCCTTACAATGCCCTATGAACCTCATGTGCTGCTCTATAAGAGGAGCTCATCTCTCTTGCTCAGCTGGATCCAATTCAAGAGCTGTCAGAAGAGGAGGAAGGTAAAATAGAACATGAAACTGTTGCAGAGTTGGCCGACTGCATGTTGTTTGCATGGATCATCTTCAGCATCAGTCTGTTGAGCAGCCATTTTCTCAACTTTGTTGTGACTGAGACCATCGTTTGTTTTGTTTATGTATTTATTTAGTTTTCCCGACCACCCCTAGACCTTCAAAGTTGGAGGGGCAAAGTCCGACTTAAAAGACACTGAGGGTTACATAAACAGAAAGTCAGAGCTGCCAACTGTTTTGGATTGTCCGTATTTTGTTGGGGAAATCGCTGAACACTAACTTGTTACGCCCGGAACACTGATTGCTACGAATATTTTCAAAAATCTTTGGTCACATAATTGCGCAAACAAGTTGAAAGCGAGCACAAGGAGCTCATGGATAATTGCGATGTATTTTTGACAATATGTCAATTCGTAATGCGGCATTGTTCTATCTGTCGGGTCCAGTGATGTAGTTCGCAAAAGAAGCTAGCAGACGAGTCCGACATTAGCCAAAAACAATTCCAGGATAACCCACTGACTTATATTCGAATGGACGAACAATGCAGCTTTCTCAAGCCACCGGCGGCCATCTTACATTGCCACTCGCTAAGTCCATTCATATATAAGTCCATAGGCTAACCCCGATCACCACTAGCTTGATTAAATTCATATCAGCAGCAAGGAAAAGAGCGGTGAACAATGCCATGATTAATGCATGTATATCTATATTAAAAGTGCATTTCCATTGGTTGGCAGTTTTGTAGAGTGTTTTTGACATGCTCGATCACCTTCGTGAATTAGCAAGTCCATGGTTTTTGTTGCTTTTATGGACTTACTTCATTTATCACGGGTTACTGCTCCTCCTTGTGCAACATGGCATTCCCCGCTATGTTACCCTATATCAAGTCAAGTCAAGTGCAACTTTATTGTCAAATGTACACAGATTAAATTTCTTCCCTCTCAAGACAACATGCAACAAGAATCAATTCAAAACAAACAACATGGAGAACTCGCGGTCAGAAAAACAGAAAGCACTTCTTCTGTCTACTTACACGCCTATGAACACTTCCTAAATAAATAGGCATGTGACCAGATAGAAAGGCGACATCTAACGGTCAACTTGGTAACCTACATGCAAGTGCATGATATGACCTTCGCAACTGTTAATAAATGTGCTATTCAATCTTATACAGACTTGACCACCATCCCTGAGAAGAGGCCGGTGGAGAAAAAGCTTGAACCTCGTCCAGAGAAGAAACTCCGGGTGTCCATCAAAAAGAACCCCAACAAGACTGAAATCAAGCAACATCTCGAGCAGCTTGTGATGACGAAGCTGGAGAGACTGGGAGTGAAGCCAGTAAGCTACTGCCCACCTAGCAGAACTGTGCACAACCTATTTGTAGCGTCCCTGGCTGATTGACGGTTGGACTCTTTACTGATGGTTCAAAAAGCTTCAATTTCACACAGCGCCAGAGCTACGAATGAAAAGAAAAAATAAATATTAAGATTGTACGACGTGATAGAGCGCAAACGATGAAAGATAGTCTATAAATGTTTTACCACCAGCTTGACTATGCAATAATATTATAACTGTAAGCATAAAGTGGCAAAACAGCCAGTTTTCATTCTTTCATCTTCTCCGTACCACTTTATTCAGGATCAGAGAAAACTGAAGACCAAAGAGCTCAGGTCCATTCTTGCTAATATACACACAAAGCAACAGAGCCTTGCAAAGAAGTTTCCGGACTATTGGCACCATCGTGCGGACATCACGAACACCTTGGAGCGGAAGTTGGGCTTGAAGAGGAAGGACAGCAATCTCCAGTCTCCAGACAAATCCAGACACTCTGTTCAGGGTAGGATCAATTCATTGAGCAACCCGCTTAGTAAATGACATCATCTGGCTTAATTCAGCTCTCGTTTTAGCAATCACAGTCACACTATTAGTAAGTGTGTGAAAGATTGTTTCTGCCACACAGACAAATGAAAGCTTTAAGTTAGTGTCAGCGGCTAAGCTGCTTTTAGTGCGGACGTCATCTGCGTTCCTCTCCTGTGTAGTGTTGCAGATGCGTCCTCGATCCAGCAGTCTCCCCTCCAGAGCATCGCGGGGCACTTCTGAAGCTTTTGCCCGACAAGCCAAGACCCCCCAACCTGCACCAAGAGTCAGGATCTCAATCCAACCAAAGACGTCGACACCCAGCCGCAAAGCTGTTCAACTCAAGTAAATCAACTTATTTAATAAAGCAGAATGGAAAGCTCCAAATGATCATCGTTGTGTAATCATTTAGCAACCTTTATTCCAATACGTCTGCATATGCTTGTTTGTTGATGGTTATATAGAAAAAATTACTTTAATACTAATTTTGGCGTGAGTGTTAAATTTAAAAGAGACTTTGCTTCTGCCATAGGACGCCGCCTTTCTGTTCTTTCGTGGATTCAGAAGACGAGGATACAGACATGGAGGACACTGAGTCTCCTCAACACCAACGGGGCAAAACTTCACAAGCCAGAATAAATAAGGAGGAAGCAGTTCAAATCAGTGCAAGAAAATCCAATTTGATCCAGACGAGACCGGCTCCGACTGTGCTCGCATCCTCCAAAAGCCATCTCGCTGGTGACGCGACCAAGACAGCGGTCATGAAATTAGAGAATGGCAATGATGACGAGGACGATGAGGATGAGTTGTCGGATGTCAGTGAGCTGCAAGAGATTGACTCCAGGCAGCTCCAGAGTTTCAAAGACCAGAATGGCAATGTGGAAAAGACAAACTTTGCGAAAGGTAAGCTGCTGTAATCTTTTTCAAACACCTCAAATCCAGTGAAGTTGAGACGTTGTAAAACAGGGGCCCCCAACCTTTTTTGCCCCACGGACCGGTTTATGTCAGGCAATATTTTCAGGGACCGGCATTTAAGGTGTGGCGGAAATAATAAAACAAAATAATATGGTATGAGCTGCATGAAAACTGTGGCGTTTTCGAAATATAGTAATAAACATACGGAGCGTCTAATCTGGCCGCAACACTCTGATCGCTATGGTAATGTTTAATGCCTTCAAAATACGATACAACGCAAATTCAAAGTGCATGAAAATGACGACTCACCACAGCCCCGAGCTTGATTTTCTGCAACCAGACGATCCAATCTCGGGGTAATAGGAGACAATGACACCTCAAGTGTGTGGTTTATGTCCAGTCTACTTCGTCATTTTGTTTTAGTTGCCGTTGCTGCAGAAAACCCCCGCCTCATACAGGTAGGATGTTGGAAATAGCAACAGTGCTATTGTGGCGATCTCAGAGTATTCAGCCATAACTTTAATCCAGTTGTCTCGAACGTACTTTTAAGGCCGCCGTCATTTGCGATCTCCAGCAGTTTTTTTCTCATTTTGCGAGCTCTGGCGTTTTGTTTTTAGCGTAATCGGTCACGTGGCGGAGAAGCATGGCTTGACGTGTGTCAAGTGTGACACAGACGGATGTAACGGAGAATCCCGTAATTTTTCAAAATAAAACATGGTTCGTACTCCGAAAGAAATAAAACGGAATTAAGGCAAGTTCTTTCTGTGCGGCCCGGTACCAAATGCCCTGCGGACCGGTACCGGTCCGCGGACCGGCGGTTGGGGACCCCTGGTGTAAAACATAAATAAAAAAATGAATACAATTATTTGCAAAGTAATGCCCTAAATCAGGGGTGTCAAAGTCAAATGGACGGAGGGCCAGATAAAAAAATTTGCTGCAAGCCGAGGGCCGGACTGATCGAATGTTCATTGAAAATTTTAAAAATGACCACATATTGTTTATTGAACCAAATTTAATTGACTGAAAACCTAACAAATACATTCCAATACGGTCAGATAAATAAAGCAACATTTTTTTATGGCTATGTCAGTAAACTTTAATTTTCAACAGGCAAAAAAAAATTTCCTTTGTATAAAAATACC